AAGGAGGATTTTTCGACAACATCTTCTGTAGAGGTCTTGTCATTCTGGAAAGGTGTGGAATAAAGTCTCCCACATAATTGATTACTCCAAGAAATTGTTGAATTTGTCGCCTTGTGAGATTTTCATCAGGAAAATCTAGAAGTTATGTAGCTAAATGGGCCTGTGGTGTGAAACTTCCTTCTTTGATATGCATGCCAAGAAAATCAATGTTGGGCTGGGCTATTATCATTTTTCTGGCTGATAGCATGATTCCACTTTTCTTGACGATATCTTGAAACTGTTGTAGCGCCTGAATATGTTCTTCTTCATTCTTCGAGAAGATGAGTATGTCATCAATGTATATAAGGGCTGTGTGTAACAACGGCTCGAATATACGTAACATTGCTTGTTGAAATAGCGATGGCGCCGTCTTGAGACCAAAGGGTAAGACATTCCATTGAAGGTGTCTATTTGGAAGGCAAAACGCAGTCTTGTATCTTTCTTCAGGATGAACACCGAGTTGCCAAAATCCTGACTTCAGATCAAACTTCGAAAATATTTTTGCACCTTGGAGATGTTGAAGAAGCGCTCTTTTATTTGGCAGTGGAAACTTGACGTCTTGCAGATACTGGTTCAACGGTTTGTAATCGATAACTAATCTGAGTTTTCCTCTTGCTTGTTCTGCACGATTATTAACGTAGAATGCTTTGCATGCCCATGGAGAGTTTGTTCTTGAGATGATACCTTGATCCATCAATTGATTGCATTCCTCATTTGCCTTCTGCAACAGTGTTGGAGGCATTCCTGCATGGCTTGCTTTTGTTGGTGTTGTGTGCACATCTTCTTTGAATGGTAGGGATACGAAGAAGCTTGAGTTTAACCATAACGGATGGTCGCACTTTTGAAGGAACTCTGTGTGTGAATCTGCACATGATGCCATCTTTAGTTCTTCCTCAATTTTGTTGAATTTTGCAGATGCTGAGTCTTCGATTGAGAATAGGCGATGCATCGTGGTAAAGGCCTTGTAGAGATTTTTCCATCTCACACCTCTTGGTTCAAGAGAAATACCGAACTTCTTCTTCAGTACCGAATAAGTATCCCACCCAAGAATTAAGTCTTTACCAGGTGCAGATGAACCTAGTACTTCCTTAGTAACTTGACATCCTGGGAAAAGCTCGATCGTTATCGGTTTTGATTTTAGCCTAACCGTCAGGGATCCAGCGTTTGCTACTCTGAAATCTTGTTGATAAGGCATCCACATGGCTCGTGAGAGTATCTTTGGATTTATGATTGTTGTATGAGCTCCTGTGTCGAAGAATGCGATTGCGTGCACTGGCTTTTCTCTTTTGGAAGGATCGAAGATGGTTACTGGTAGATGTGGTGTCTGCAGTTCGTCTTCTTGAGGCATCTGGGTAATCTTGAAACAACAATCATCGTCTCTGTCATCTTCGGATGAGGATTCGGAAGATTCGTCATAATCCGAATAACTGCATATAGCATCATTCTCGTCACTATCATAAGATAGTATTGACTCGAGATCGTGGTTATCAATATCAAGATCTGGAGCTATCTTGGATATCGAATGAATGAGATACTGCTTCTTCTTTTTAGACTTGTTTGGACAGTCTTTTGCAAAATGCCCCGTCTTTCTGCATAGAAAACATCTTGAAGTTTTCTCGAAGCTTTTCTTTTTCCTAAAGAACCGCTTGCGTTTAATCTTGTTGAAATATTTCGATTTCAAGAATGATTTCTTGGATCTTCTTCGGTCTTTTCGTCGATCTTCACATGAACAATTTTTCTTTTTCGAACATTTGATGTTCAGATCTGGTCGAGCACATATCTTCGAAAGATGCTTTGACTTGTCCATGAATTCTGACCAAAATTCTTTCTGCTTGCAAAGCTTGTCAAGAGTTCTGAACACCTGCTGCTGTATCTGTCCAATCGAGATTTCTTCGATTGTTTGCCCTTGATCTCTGATATACAGCTTTGTTTGTTGACTTAGGTAGTCGTCGATGGATGAGAGATACACCTGCTTCAGGCTTGGATTGTTTAGACCATTGAGAGCATAATACCTTCGAGTTTGCCGCTCGAAATGCTTTGCCAAATCTCTCTTCTTCAATGAACAACACTTCGCTGTGTAGAATTCTTCTTGTAGTTGTTCTTTTAAATGATTTGGGGTACCAACGAATTCTCTATGTATTTCTCCAAGAAGTAGAGGTATCGTTGTTTGATACACCTGCTGCTGCCGATATTCTCCAAGCGAATTCCACCATTCTTTTAATGCGCCTGACAGTCTTGATGTGAATTGTTGTATCACCACTTCTGTTGGGGAAGTGATTGCTTCGGAGGTCATCCACGCATGAAACTCGTCGAGACGACTATTCCATTTTTCAAAAGGAATGTCATCGAACGTGAACACCATTATCTTTGATGCAAATTGTTTCTTTGGTACGCCTTGAGCTTCATAGCTCATCTCTTCGTCACTTGAAATTTCTTCATAGATCGGTTCTTCTTTTGGAATATGTGACTCATCTCCGATTGCAAACTGATTTGGAAGAGATTTATCAGTTTCTGATTCATCGACGGAAGAGGTTGACTCTGAAAGAGCTGAGATGTGAGCCATTGTAACAATTGGTAGCGACTGCTGTTCTTTTGATTGAACTTGCAATTCTTGTCTTTCATCATCAGATGTTTTCGCAAGATTGTCTAGTAAACTAGACATCGAAAACTCGATCATCGCAATTTCTTCTTCTTTTGCAACATCCTCTTTCTTTTCTTCTTGAGCAGACTCATGGCTTGATGAAGATGTGAAGCTTGGCTTCTTGGATGGATTGATGGGAAACTCAGAATCCTTTTGACGCCTTGGTTTAGTTCTTGCCGCCTTTGTTTTGAAATTGCTGATTGAGGTTGTACCGAACCGAGATGTAAAGGCTTCATCCGAGGATAAGAATCCAGGTACAGGCTGTTTTGGTTTTGGATCTTGATATCCAGACAGAAATCCTGGAGAATATGATTCTTGATATGTGGGTAATCCAGATGACATATAGTCAAAAGGATTATACATATTCACTCGCCTCTGATTCTGGACTAGACTTTCTAGGCTTCTTTGAAGATCTTTGAGTTGATATTTAAGACTGGTTTGTTCAGCTTCTTTACTTCTGAACTGAGATGTATTAACCTTCATTTGTTTCGCCATAGCCATCATTTCTTGGTGCAAGTTGCTGAGTCTCTGTTGAATCTCTGATATGGCTCCTTGCAGACTGTTGAATCTTCTATTGTTGTTCTCCGACATTTAATCAACCTTGTGGCTAATGGATGTCAGTAATTGATTTTGAACAAAGGCATTTTCTGTTTGCCAGTTGAGAACCTTTTCTGCTTGGCTTAATTCGTCTGGTCCAGCGGAGTTGATGCTGTTTGGAACAATTTTTGGTGTATGCAGCACATTGTCTTTGACAAAGTCCTTTGGTGGAGGAAAGTCCGTTCTTATCATCATGAGTTGCTGAGTTGCTTCTTCCTTCTTTGTTGAATACTCGACTATGAAGTCGTAGTTGTCTTCACCAAGTGGACCAACTGTAGGATCTCCTTCAAGGTAGCGTTTATAGAGTGGATCCTTCTTTTTTCTCCGTCTTCTTCGCTTTTCATCATCCGATTCATAAGAATCTTCTAAACATGCGGTGCATGAGCAGACATCGAAGTAGCAATGTCCGTTCTCATCTTTGAATGGATATACGACAGTTCCATTCTGCCCAAAAGCGATTGGTTGAAGATCTTTCTTTTTGACGGGATCATAGAACTCTTGCTCCTCAATTTGGATAGTGAATTGAGTAAAGAGTTTCTTTTGAAAAGATGAACTTGGCTTTTCAAACTTTATCTCCGTGGTTCCGTCGCTTCTAGAGTGAAAGCTTACGTCAGATGACTGAATCGGTGCTTGAGATGCTTGATGTATCTTCTCATAGCTTGTTACCCATGACTCTGGCAGTTTTCGTAGCAATTCCTCTCGAGATATCTGTCTCGGGATTTGAATAGAGTTGGGTGCTTGTGATGCCGATGTGACTTCAAGGTATAAAGCTTCATCTGATGCTGGTAGTGCAAGATCGAGGGCATGATCTTGGATTCTGTATACGATCTGATGATGTAGAGTTGCTGCCACACTTTCTTCTTGCATAGGTGCTCCGATTAGTTGTAATTGAACCTTAAGCGCCTTCAGGAGATTTGGATCTTGTAGTGAGACATTGAAATTGGGAAACAGTGTTATGAATACTGTTCCTGCGTTCAGCGTTGTTTGTACTGTTCCGATGCAAGCTTGTTGATAGGATTTGAGCCTTGAGTCAAGCAAAGCAATCCGTGCTACAACCGGTAAACCTTTTCGAGCGTGTAAGGTTAACCCGATTCGTACCACACCAAAGTGTAGATGAGTGTAGCCTTGCTGCTGCCATAGCCTTGGAAGATGCTCCGGGATATTTAGCGAGATGAATTGTTCTTCTTCGGTGGCTGGAACTTGACATGATGAAAACTTGCTGGATTGTACATACTCCAATACTCGTCGGCTGGAAGATGGCCTGATCAGATCGCGAACACTTTTTACTGAAAAAGCACTAGGCTTTTTAGCAAAGTATTCATAAGGATTAACCAACGGGAGAGTTGTTTCCGGCAACTGATCTCCGGGAACATATTCAATCTCATACAAGGAATTTATCTTAGAAAGAGAATTATTTCTTTGGATTTTTGGTAAAGTAGATATAGCAAATTGAGAATCTATAGAAGGATTTAGCTGAGGGTGTTTAGGAGGCTTAGAAAGAGACATGATTGAGAGTTCGTTTTCCAGAACATTCAAAACGATCAGTCATAAACAATGATTCTCTCTACCTTCACACAAGTCTTTGGCTCTGATACCATAATCTTAAAGCTAGCACGAGCGGAGGGTCGTGTTGACTAAGTCTAGACGACAGTCGTGTTTACTATTCAGATGAACTTGGCTTTTCAAACTTTATCTCCGTGGTTCCGTCGCTTCTAACCCCACACGTAACATTGCTCTGTTTGTACATGAAACAAAGAACTAACCCCACACGTCGGTTGGAGAGAGACTGCTGCTCAGAGAAGCAACGTACTTCTGCAATTACAATAAAACAACATTCAGACAGGCTACAATGAGAAAAAGCTTGAAGAAGGCTAATAAAAATATGGAGTTATTATTGAATAGTACCCGCGAGTTTTTAGTCTGAATGACATATCTAGCATCTTCAGAGTTTGGATTGAGTATCGCCGTGCATGTAAAAACCTAAATGACGAAAATCTTATCAAGAACCTTGTATATCCATCACATCGCTGAATTTGGAAGACTCTGAGTGAGAAAATATCAGATACCCGCAGATTTTGTTCTTCATCCATCATTTCTTCATCGCCGACAAGATCCCACTGGCTTCGTGGAGCCAAACCCATGTCAGATTCTTCCACCCCTGAGATCAACCAGTAAAAGCATTCAAAGACAAAAAAAACCAAAATAAGAGAGAGTATTCATGTTTTTACACAAGATCAAAATGATTCAAGAAAGTCAACAACGCATTGTTTTTTCAGAAACAAAAAAAAAGCGCACCGCATATATCGTTGATCTTCTTTTCCCTTTCTTTTATCTCTTTTTCCAGTTTCCTTATAGCAGCATCATAAGGTCCTAATGCCTGGAGTTAAATTGAAAAAAAGAAAAGAAAAAACAGAATCAACAATAGTTCCTACTTGGGTCACTCAAGAACATAACTTAAGAGTTCGAGATAAATGCATTATATCAATCTTGGATTTGTTACTAGATGATGACGAGAAGAACGGACCAAGCAAGAACAGAGTAAGCCAAATAACAGAATCATCCATAAACATGCATGATTCGAGATTGAAGTAAGATTCAAAAGTATCAAATTACTGAAACTTCTATATTGGTAGAGGTAACGAATTGGGCAAGAACTACGATGACGTAGGGATGAAGAAATAACGTACATGGGTTTTGAGAATCGCAATGTCTTCTTCGTCTATAGGAATATGCTTCTTGTCCTCATTATCGTGCTCCATTGTTACTCTCTCAGACTCTCATAATTATATTTTGCTTCGATCGCTTTACTCTGAAGGAGAAAGAAAGATGAATTATATATTTCTTGAAAGAGAGGGAAAAATATGAAGGGAAATAACTTTTAAACATATCCTCAGGTTTCGATTACTATTTAAAATCGCCCCTTTACTTATTATCTTATCAATTTCAACCCTGCATCGTTTCGTCTGAGTAGGTAATATTAAAAAATCACCTCTTTTATTTCCTGTGTAATCAAATATTACCCCCTTGTTTTAAACTATTGCAAATTTAGTCCACGTTCTGTGTTCAATAAATCTTGGTATACAATTACATGTTTCAAAAGCAGTCAAGCTTGTTCTTATAAACCAATTACATGTTTCAAAAGCAGTCAAGCTTGTTCTTATAGAACTGAAAATTCTCAAGCAAAAAAACTCTATTTCACCGACACAATCACAAAATCGTCGGAAAAGAATTAAACGAATTTGACATTAACGACGCCTATTATAATACAGGTAAAGAAGAAGAACCATGGAAACAGAGGAAAGTTAACGAATGTGTTGACTTTTTTTTTCATTTTCAGCTATGAAGTTTGGTTCTTCGCCTCTACAGAGATACTCATCGCACATCGATGAAGTTCCCCAGTCTTTTCTTAGCCGCAAGATATCCTCTGTAAAAGTAGAACCCGATGCTCCAATGAAGACACTGGACATTGCACATATAGTCTTATCCAACATAGCATCCACCTACACATTCCAGAAACCAAAGCATAAGCAAGTGAATCTCTCCTCAAAGAAGACGGGAACAAAGAGTCTAAGGATTTTTCTCACACCAAAGACTGTTACTAGATCATAGACCGTTATAATGGATATCTTTTCAATACCACATTGGAGATACTGTTCAAGTAGAGAATAAAGTCTTTGGCCCTAAACAAGTAATAAATTCGTTACCTGAGAGTCATCTTCTATACCATGTCTATACAACAACGAGTCCCACTTTTCTGCAGAGTTGCGAGGTGGACGTTTGACAAGGGGAACGACTTTTCCATTAACGACTACTAGTGACTGAAGCAGACCGGTTTCGCTTTCTGCAGCATCTGTTGAAAGGTAGATGACTGGAGCATTGGCCCTTTCCACCATCCGACTGATGCAGTCTGCAGCTTGTGGTATAGGATAAAAACAACTTGGCGATTTTGCATTGCTGGCAAGAAATCATTCATTAGACAGAGCCAGCTATTAATGAGACACAGATTTTGTTAAAATCCAATCCTAGTCCCTATATCGATCATCAATATCAGCACAGTATTCAATTGCTACACAGACAAACTGCTGGATGGAGATATCCCAATCAATTGAGTGTGGGCTACACTATGAAGATACATAATGGCAACAATGAGAAGGTTCCATAGCCTAAAAAGGGAGAGATGCAACAAAAAAAAAACTCACCAGAACTTAAGGAACCCATGTCTACGGAGATGAAGCGAGATGAAATTCTTTCCTAAGAATGTCTGGATGAATCGCTGTGCCGTCACCAAAATGAGCCTACTGGGTTCGATCAGTGTTTTACATTTGTGATTGATGGGTCCACCAGGCTGCATCACCAAATCTTGCTCCATATCAGCATAGAAGACATCCCCTATGGCGATCACACCATCATCAGACTTAAACTTTTCCACTACCTCTTTAGAAGTTCGCTTAGTTGGCTTCTTTATATCTTCAATCCAAGGAGCCTCAAGCTTCCCACCAATGGAAACCCCCAATCCCTTCAGCTTCTTGATATGATCCTCATCCACATAACAAGGCTGTGGCGATGAGAAGTAACAGATGAACCTGTCAATGTGAGCATTGTTCTTCTTATCAATCTCCTTGAACTGATCAAAAGAAATGACAACAGTTCTTCCCAAGCACGTATTAATCCGCTCTATATCTATCACTCTATCATACTGGTAATCAAACTTAGAGCTTGGAATCACGAGAACTCGATCCAGCAGCGCAGCAAAGAACATATGTTTCTCTAAGCAAATCAAGTGGTTACTCATTTGACCTGAGAGACAGATAGCAAAAAGGAACTTTTCTGGTCTAGGCTTCCATTCGATCGTTTTCCGCTCCAACAACTTCTGATCTACCTTTTTACACCTATCATCGTAGTAAGAACCAGTGATACTATCTGAACCAGAACCAGTGACTGAGTAATTCCCAGTCTTGTGTGGTGAAAGAAGGACCTCTTCGATTTCCTTATTCACTGAAATCTGCTTCAGTAGAGCAGCTTTCACATTGTCTATTAATACAGAAGAACCAATTGCATTCGAAGAATTGAAAATCGCACGGTTCAACAGAGAGACAAGTGCGAGCTGTTGCTGCCTCAGAAGATTCAGAGCTTGGAGCTCAGATTCCTTGACCCGACTCGACATTGGATCAAGCTTAAAGCTCGAGAGATCTACTGAGAAGAATCTACGAGTATCAGTAAATAAGAACAAAAATCCGACGAACAGAGTTAGAGAGACGACAGCAACGACGTAACGCTTGTTAACTGAGATTTTCCAACGGTTTCGAGCTCGCGATACGATTTCATCGATCTGAAACGCCGATCTTGGACTCCTACCACCGCCGTTAGCCCTATTTATGGCCCTGGCGGTGGTGACGGAGTGAAGCTCGTCTTCACGGCGGAGGTCGAGATCGTTGTCTCTGGTGTCGTTCTGTGGGATTAAATTCCGGTGGTCCTCTTCATCGTCCGACGAGTTGCGCACCATCGACGAGCTGGAAATCTATGGGAGATAACAAATCCAAACAGTACGATTCTTCTCAGAGTATCCAAATCTCCAAATTCAAAAAAAATCGAAATTCGACAGAAATGCGAATAAGCAAATTAAAATTATTAAGTTAACATTATTTAACCGATAACAATAATCACTGGACTGGACTCGAGAAGAAGATTGGTAACCAGTCAACGTCGGTGGTTGAAGAGATTGAACCGGTACAGCCAAACCACTTTTTTAATTTATCATTATTGTGATGAGTATGGTTTTTCTTACTAATGGGCATAAAGTGACAATTGCTTAATTGGCCCAGTATACCTGACAATTCTACTATTTCATTAGTGACGAATATTCTTGTAGCTACTCTGAAGATGTCAAAATTGTGTCTCGGCTCTGTGTCACTTCTGTTTAAGAGCCTTCTTTGTCATTAAGTTACTACAAAAATATTGCAAAAAATTGACGAATTAACCTGTGAGCTCTTGGAGAAGTACAATTTGAAAACCATACGGTTCTATTTTATCAAATCCAAACCATTACCCTCAATTCATATACTATACAAAGTAGTTCCAACAAAGCTACAATATGTATGTAAATGTGAAACCAAACTTATGTTATCTGCTTTTACAAGCAAACCATGAGGGGCTAAAATGAGTAAGTTCAGACGAAGAGCACTAGACAAAAGGAGACTACTCTTGATGCTGAAGAGAGAGAGAGACAAGGAGAGATTTTACCCGATGGGTTGTCCAGGTCGGGAACTGTTGCATAGAAATTACAGTTGAAGTAAAGGCAAAGCCATTACAACACCGAAAACCGACACTAGCAACAGTATTATCCATGCTGGCAATCCCTGTTTCTTGTTCTTTTTCCTCTCCTTCAAGCCACCTTCTGAGTCCTCCTTAGTTGGATCGATGGTTTTCTCTGACTCGACTTTGGTATCGCTCTTTTGAGGAGACTCTGATGTTGTCACTTGTGTGGCAGCTTGCTCAGCTAGTTGCTGCTGGTTGTACTTCTCTACGTACTCTGGAAATAGCTTTCGAAATGCTGGGCTGTGACATGTAAGAACATTGGATTCAGGTTCAAGACCAAAAGCATGTAAGCTTGGGACTGCATTCATTCCTATGTTCGTTATCTAACCAGCTTTTATGACTATCCTAACCACAAATAACTAAATTTAGCTTCTAAATGAATCCAGAATTTAACAAATTTTGATGGTGGGAAAACCTTACGTTTTACAATTGAACGCTAGAGATGACTTAGCCAACCGTTGTTTCTCAGCTACAGTAGTGTTCACACTTCCAGTTGTCGGACTGGTATCCATCTGCGCCACAAGTCAAACGTTTAGAGGAAGCTTGGGAACAGAAAAAGAAAAAAATCATAATAATATCTAAGCTATAAACCATTACAATATAAGAAAATGAAAATTTTCAAACAAGATGTCCATAAATTTGTAGAACCTACAAAGAGCTTACCATAAATGAGAGAAGGCCTGTAAGTATGCTGCATTCGTGAAAAAAAGTGGGTTATCAACAGGTATATCAATTGTCATCTTCCAAAGTAAAGAAAGAATCTATACCTTGACACAGACCACATCGGATTCCAGCTCTCTGGGTGAACTGTACATGCCATGTAAATTTATTTAGATATTGGACAACTTAATTGATACGAAATGAACAGAAAGTGCAGATTGTCCTTACAATCACTCATAGACAAACAAATTTTCTTTTGTGTCATGAATCGACCATTTGGTGTAGTCATTCTGAGGCCAACAAATAAAATATTTGGTTCATTAGAAACTTGACTAAAACTGAGGTAAGATTAATGTTGAGACTGAAGTCGGAAGAACCATTGGAACATACGTAATCCCAGGTGGCTTGTAAGGATACTCAGGAGGAAACTTGATCTTTCCATAGTAAAAACCCCCTGTTAAAAAGAATTTTAGTATCAAAAATAAGATAGTCCAAAAGACAACACTAACAAGAAACTTTCAAAAGAAGATTTTCACCTGCAAAAGGTGTTCCCTCACTACCTTCCAGCACATAATCTGTAAGATTAATTCACTAGTTAACTCTACGTTAGTAAGAGATCAATCAAGCTACCTTTTTAACATACTAAATGTAATACAAAGACTGAAACTCCCTAACCGCTAACAGCCTTTCACAATTGAGAAGAAAAATGTCAAATCTATGCATTGTACGTATATATAAACCTTTTGATAAATAAGTCTTCACCGTTCTATCAAAGTGATGGTTAAAATGTGAGACGTCCTCTGTCTACTTACATCGTAGTAACCCATTGTTTCATAGTTTAACGTATATTCACAAGTGTAGCAAATATGTCCATCATATATACCTCTTCCTAACACCTTTATAGAAAAGCTTGCAACAGGATTACGGGAAGCCAGCAGGAGAAATAAAGATTAAGAAAAAAAGATAGGAAAGGCTTACGCCACTCGAGAATGTCATTTGGGGAAGGACGAGCAACAACATGGGAGACTGGTTCCTAAAGGCCGAAAACAGAACAAATTATAAATAACCCCCAAAGAAACAAAAGAAAATATGAAACTTACTCTAGAACAAAACCAAGAAAATATTCACATACAGATACAGCATCATTGGAAAAGTTGAGAGAGAACTGGTTGAGTAATAAAAATGAGGAATAGTGGTTCTTGCTGAAGAGGTGTGGAAAACAAGAGAAGAGATTGTACCTTGCAAAGTGCTCTATATTCCTTTTGAAGACGTTTTATACAAGCCTTTTCTGCCATCTAAGAGCTATGGACTAAGTGTGTAGCTGCAGCTGCTGTTAATCAATAAAACGAAATATAAATTAGAGTGAAAGTCCACCTACTTAACTTATGAAATGAACCAAAACACATACTAATTCCGTTGTCCGATCAATTAGAAAAGGAAAGCATTCCCTGTATGCCAAACAGAATCAGTGGTATCAATGGTTTACCTCAACCTTGGACAGAAAAATCAACCAAATACACACAAGATCAAATGAAACTTGAATCAAACAACACTATGATAACTAAAAATCCCCAATTTCCATGAGCTTGGGAAAATCACTGCAAACCAATTGAAAGCAACGAAAATTCAATTGAATTCCAACCGAATAAGAGGAAATTATCTGGAAAATATCTCAACCTAGCAAATCGTTTGATTCAACCGAGAAAATTGCAACAACAGTAAACGAACAAAATCACATCAGAAGAAAATGCAGCGAAGAAATTCCAAAGTAGATAACATCAGATCGAAGAAAGAATTGCGAAAATATGAAAGAAATTGAGCACCTCAATCGAAATTTTGTCGAGGAAGATTTTCTCTCTGGGGTTTCTCGTTAATTAATCACTTTCTCCTTCTCCTCGGGTTAGAGAGAGAGAGAGAAAGAATTAGCCTAAACTCGCGCTTGGTTTATCTAAACCAAACACAAGTTAGACCGGTATTGTATAATCCATTCCGGTTCGTTATTTGTAAGCCACACACCCACCCCACAAGATAAAATAAAAACCCATTTCTAATTGAGGATCAATGATTTGATAATTCATTTTTGCGTGATGCACTTTTCCCTATTTCTTTATTCTCCACTCATCAAATAATCTGTGCCGGTTCTTGGAATCAACTTTTCCTTCTCTTCACAAAATGAAAACATAAATAAATAACTGCAGAAGAAAAGAAAAAACAATTTTGTGAATTAAAAAACTAGTGATTAGTAGAGCGACAAAACCGGTGTTACCTGCAATTTTTCCTTTCTGAAATTGGACTTACACTAATACCTCCAAATTCCAAAGTTATGTCTTTAGAGCATCATTATAGGGGGATGTTAGCTGAATCTTAGGTATTAAAGTGATTTAAATTAAATAGTTAATATCTTAATAAGCTAAGGAACTAAAGAACGTTCCTTAGCTTATTAAAGTATTAACTATTTAATTTAAATCACTTTAATACCTAAGAGGTGCCACGTATCACGTTTTGATTGGACGGATTTCACATATTCTACAAATACGCTTTCTAATTTCTTCGATAATAGAGCTCGAGTTCGTGATTGAGGTATGCATCAACAATTGAAAAATGATTTGGTCGAGCATATATGGACAAAATATAGAAGAAATTAAGTTTAAAATATTTGTGATTTATGTTATAAATTGTATCTCATGTATGTTTTAATTTTTTTAATTTGCAACAATTATTAAATTTTCTATAAATATAAATTTTATTTTTATATTAATATTTTTTTTTCTAAGAACCACATGTTAAGAGCCTACCATTAATCACACAAAAATCTTAACTTAAAAATACTAATCTCTTAACAATCACTTTTACAAATAAATTATTTAAATATTACTAAGATCTATCTCTATATAATGATGCTCTTAGGGCATATGCAACGGTAAAACAAGAAGATAGTTCTTAATTATTAAAATAATATTAAAGTTTATAATATCTAAGAACAGTTCTTCAACTGATGCTACAACAGTTCTTCAGGGAGAACATCTACCCATGCTCTTGAGTATATGTTCCTCAATTTTATTATTTTTAAAATCTAAGAACAGCCCAACAAATTGGCCTCATAAATATGGTCTTAGAAAAAACTTATAATAAAATGAATAAAGCTAAGTTTCAGCCTCTTTTGAGTTCCCCGATAACAGTAGGCAGAAATCACGTGCTCTAATCACATGACCACCATCTCTTTCTCTTAGTTTCAAAGCAGTTACACGAGTTAGGTAATGTGAATATGTGGATCTTTGTCTCTACATATGATATTGTATCATTGTTTCAATGTAGATGCTGAGGAATATCATCATCATCAGTAAATGATTAAGAATAAGATAAGTATCTCACCATCTGATTAAATAGCAATAGTCAAAGTAAGATCACGTGATCAGATCCCAATAACTATGTGTTCAAACACACACAAGTCTTTTTCTATAAAACCAACAAAGCTTTAGAAGTCTCTCGTCCCTCTCTCTCCCTCTTTCTCCAACTCACATCTCTATCCAATATTTTCTCAGTTACAGTCACAAGTTAAGAGGTTGCAAGAGTCCTAACGGAATTACAAGAAGAAAACTCACAATGAAAAGATACTGTTCAGTGGCTCTGGTTCTGTTACTTGTAGCTTTCTTTAGCAGCAAGTATAGTGTAGAAGGCCGTTCTCTGTTAACGATGACACATTCGAGTCAAGCTCAGAGAGATTTGCATGTAAGCAAGGAGATGAAGAAAGAGCCACTTAAGGGAGAAAAAGATAGCTTCAGAAGAATCCCAAGGAGTGGCTCAAACCCTATACAGAACAAGTAATGAAGAAACGAGACACGATCTAGTTTTTTTTTAATGTATCCCCAAAGATGAGTTTTAGGTGTAATTGACATCAAAAAGTGTTTCTTTTTGATTCAGGTGTAATCCACCGGTAGATGTTAAAGGAAGTAGGAACCAGCAGATCACAGCATCAAGAAAACCTTAAATTTTAGTTCTTTTTCTTTTTGTCCTTCTTAGATCCTCTACTTTTTTTCTTTTTTTCATAGAATAGGTTATCTAGACATGTGTGTTCTTAATGCTGTAATCTACTTGAAATATATGAACTCATCTTTTAATCTTATTGATCAAGAAAATGCCTAACTCGAGTAGTCTAACTTTCAAATTCTCAACCTCTTTGAGTGTCTGTGTTCTTCTTCTGTCTCTGCTTTGTGGTTTATTTTATTAACTTCAGCAGATTTATCATCAGCCATAACTCATGTTCTTCTCAGTGATGCTTACAATGATCAACCTCTTTCTCATTTTGGTTCTTATGCTTCAAATGCATCCTCAGATCCATAAGATAAAGAAAAGTGCTATGCAGGAAATTTGATTTTCTCTAACCAAATGCTGAACAACCCTCATAATAACCTGATTGTTTAGCTGCCTATCTCGATTTCCACTGAGTACTTCTCACTACAAAACACCTACAATGAAAGAAGTAATCACAGTGAGAACTAGATTCGTACTTCTCTAGTACGCCGATACAGATTATTTACAAAACTTTTGGACCAAAATAAACAAAGTGGCACCCAACAGGCCAACACGTTACTGTACTACCTTGCATATATATTACAGTAACAGAATAGATGTCTGAATTTTGGAAACTGAGTTTACTAATAAATGTCTGTACTACGTTAATTTTACTAAAAATTAACATATATAGTGAACGAGGAAAACTAAAATTGCAAGTAGAAGAAAATGCCTACATCAGCAGCCTTCAGGGGTTGAGGACGACGCTGAGAAAACCGCCGCCGATTAGCGTTTCAGCATAAAAGCGTCGTCTTTTTGCTGGTTAATAATTGGGATTTGATAAAAGTTTTCCGGTTGGGCCGGAAGAGAGTCTCTAAACCGTAAGTCGGCCCATAATGACCAAATTTGAATAGCGAGATTTGTCCAAATTCTAACAGCGTTTTACCCGCCGACTCCGAACAATAAAACACATGGTTTTGTCTAAATCCACGATCCAGAAGTTCTTTTTGTCGAATTAATTGTTCAATTTGACAAACCAAAATCAACTAATAAAAGCAGAAGAAGAAAATCATTATTTTTTTATTACGACTAAGAAAATATCATAAGTGGCTTACGGATTGTGGAAACACACTAAAAACAATAATAATCTCAGTACTTTTGTTAACATAAAAAAATTCTCATTATTTTATTTACATTTTGTTTACTACTTTAGTTTGATTTTTCGTTGAAGAAGAAAAATATAAAGTTTGATTTTTGACATACTATTTGGTAAGAAAGGAAAAAAGGAAAACATTAAATATTCGTTGAAAAAGGTTTAAAGAAATCCGTTGAAAATAAAGGAAAATTACATAAATTCCAAATCGGTGGATGGTCAAAAAAATGTCAAAATCAGTGTGAATTGGAGAGAGAGAGAGAACACAGGAATTGGGAAGTTTCGTCTTTGAGCAAAACTATCCAAAAGCTAAATTTGGATTGAGCAACAAGCTTTTAGTATAAATCCCTGATCACACATCACAAATGCGGAGATTCGTGATTGGTCAAGCTAAAAATCTCATAGATCAGAGTCGTCGTCGCCAACATATTCATCACAAAAATCTCAGCTTTCTCTCTCTTCTTCCTCCTTTTTCTGCTCCTTCCGATTCTTCATCGCGCCACTTGTCTTCTTCTTCTTCGGAGATGTCTGCTTCTGATTCCTCTTCCTCTCTTCCCGTTACTCTTGACTCCATCAATCCCAAGGTCCGTTTTTTTCTTTTCTTTTTTCCTCTTTTCTCGCCTTTCTCTTGTTCAATCAATAGTTGATCTTTTTGGGTTCCTTTTTTTAGTGATTTTGCATTCTGGGTTTGGATTATTTTTCCTCGATTGATCTGGGTTTTTCGCAAGCTTTGATTTTGTTATATACTCCGATAAAATTTATGATTTACGATTTGTTAAAGCAAAGAGCTTCGTTTAATTTCTTCGAGATTGCTCTGTACTTGATTTAGGGTTTCTAAGGTTGATGTTGTTTTAACAACCTCTCCTTTTGGGCATCATGTTTCGATTTTATGCATATTGTGATTCGTATCCTCGTCTCCGCATCTCGATCATTGACCCTTGATAGCTTTATTTATTTCTTTTACGAATTATATTATCCTTTGTTTATTTATACACACATATATCAAACTGGGACTTTTTAGAATCCATTTTTGTTCTTTAGTTTTTTGCGGATATTAAAAAAAGTCTGTTGCATTCTGGATTCTTCATTTGTTCTTCCTTGTGCTTACCTCATACTTTTCAATTGAATAGTTTATTGTCAAGGAACAGTTCTGCTTTTAAAATCTTGCTATAGTGACTGATGTCTTGAATATTTTCCTTGGTTTTTTTATTTCTTTTTGGGGGATCTCAGGTTATCAAATGTGAGTATGCTGTCCGTGGAGAAATTGTCAACATTGCTCAGGTTAACATCATTGTCCTTGATTGTATTTTTCTAAAGTGGAGACTGTTTGCTCATTTTGATTTCTGCTCCCATTACACAGAGGTTGCAAGAAGATTTGAAGACTAACAAGGATGCTTATCCCTTTGATGAGGTACGTTATAATTGTTTTAGTCCTTTTCGTATGCTCACACTTGTTTCTTATGAATGAAGCTTACAAGATTCTTCCCTTTTGGCAGATAATCTACTGTAATATCGGGAATCCTCAATCTCTTGGTCAACAGCCTATAACATTCTTCAGAGAGGTAAATACGTGAGCTTTTATAGTACTGGTTTGTTCCATATGTTATTCTTGACTCATGAGTTAACTTGTAACATTTATGTCTCAGGTTCTTGCTTTATGTTCCCACACTGCCCTGTTGGACGAGAGTGCAACACACGGTTTGTTCAGGTACCAAAAGTGGTTTATATGTTTTATTACCTCACTATGTAATTCAGCTTCTTAGTTGTTTTGATTCTGTGGTGTAAGATTGTTTAAACATTGAACTTTACAAATTTTATCAGCTCTGATTCAATTGAACGTGCTTGGAAGATTCTGGACCAAATTCCCGGGAAAGCGACTGGTGCTTACAGCCACAGCCAGGTTTGTGGCATTGTGAATCTTGACAGCATCTCTCTCTCAATGATGATTCCCTCTCTTAATCTTCTGTTCTGCCTCAGGGTATCAAGGGGTTACGTGATGCAATTGCTGCTGGAATCGAAGCCCGTGATGGTTTCCCTGCTGATCCTAATGATATATTCATGACAGATGGTGCAAGCCCAGGGGTAACGATTATCAAACTAATCTTATCTTAACTCGTAGAATTTGGAACACCTTGTTGTGAAGGTGACAGTGATGTTCCTCTCCTTCTAGGTTCATATGATGATGCAACTTCTCATAACTTCAGAGAAAGATGGAATCCTTTGCCCTATTCCTCAGTACCCATTGTACTCAGCTTCAATTGCCCTTCACGGTGGAACTTTGGTATGTTCGTTATCTTTGTTTCTGATGATGATATCATTTTGATGCATGACTATGTCGACTGGAAAAATGAATCTGCTTCCGAGTTTCTTTGTCTTTGTTCTGATTTGCCGTCATCTTCTTCTCGTAGGTTCCGTACTACCTTGATGAAGCATCAGGATGGGGTCTTGAAATATCTGAGCTGAAGAAGCAACTTGAAGATGCTAGGTCAAAGGGGATCACTGTGAGAGCTTTGGCAGTCATTAACCCTGGAAACCCGACAGGGCAGGTAAATGAATCTTCAAGACTAAAACTCACAAATTTATACCGATGCGAATTTCACAGTTTCGTCTAAATTTGACCTCTGCTTTGTTCTGGTAAAAGGTTCTTGCGGAAGAAAACCAGCGTGACATTGTTGATTTCTGCAAGCAAGAGGGTTTAGTTCTTTTAGCAGACGAGGTTTATCAAGAAAATGTGTATGTCCCTGACAAAAAGTTCCATTCCTTCAAGAAAGTAGCCCGCTCTATGGGCTACGGTGAGAAGGATCTTGCCTTAGTCTCTTTCCAATCAGTCTCCAAAGGTTTTACAAAAACCCAAATCTCTTAGTCAATTGATAATTCTGATCATTGCAATGGGAAATTAGTCACAAAACAGGATTAACTATTTTTGACAGGGTACTATGGAGAGTGTGGGAAAAGAGGTGGCTACATGGAGGTTACTGGATTCACTTCTGATGTAAGAGAGCAGATATACAAAATGGCTTCTGTGAATCTTTGTTCCAACATCTCTGGTCAAATTCTTGCTAGCCTCATCATGAGCCCACCCAAGGTACAAAACATCTAATGTGACTTTCGCATTACAATTAATTCAGTTTCCACCAGGTGGCTTGGACTTGCACACCGATAATTGACCTTAACATTTTTTTTATGAAATTTGATCAGCCTGGTGACGACTCCTACGAATCATACATAGCAGAGAAGGATGGAATTCTCTCATCTTTAGCAAGACGTGCGAAGGTTAGCCATCTAATAGAGAAATAGGAATATTCAAGATTAGAACTTTTTGTTCCTAATACGATTGAACTCTTCTAACCTTGCAGACTCTTGAAGAGGCACTGAACAAGCTAGAGGGTGTTACATGCAATAGAGCGGAAGGAGCTATGTATCTATTCCCCTGCCTTCACCTTCCACAAAAGGCGATTGCAGCTGCAGAGGCGGAAAAGACAGCACCAGACAATTTCTACTGCAAACGCCTTCTAAAAGCTACTGGAATAGTCGTAGTCCCTGGTTCTGGCTTTAGACAGGTTTGAAAAAAGAAAAAGCTTTTTCTCCAAAGAACCAAACTAAAATCTCAGTTGCTAATATTGATCCTGTGTCTTTTTTTCGGTTTGATGTAGGTACCTGGAACATGGCATTTCAGGTGCACTATACTTCCCCAAGAGGATAAGATTCCAGCGATTGTTGATCGTCTAACTGCGTTCCACAAGAGCTTCATGGACGAGTTCCGCGACTAAACATTGTGTTTTCAAGATCTCTCTATATAGATATGAGTAATAATGTCCCATGCCGTTTCTTTTTCATCGACTTTGTGTTTACAGAAGCTAAGATGTGAGAGCATTAGTTAGTGCTCTCTTTCTTATTCACCTTTTGTTCTGCTCTTTTTATAGTGAAAACCCATACATTATATAAATTGAGAGAGTTTTTTATAAACGGTTGGTCAAAATGTTTAAATGTTATCTTAACAAGAAATCACAAGATTAAATCACTGTTGAACTTCAAGTTCAAAGTTTCGATTTTTTAGAATCATTTTCGTTTCTCTTCGTTTAAAATAATGTACGGATAAATAACTGCATAAGATTGCAGAAAAAAAGATGTGATTAGAGACGAAACAGCTGTTACCTGCATTTCTTTTTTTCTGAAATCGGACTTACGCTAGCTAAAAATGTAGACAGTAATCACGTTCTCTCTATTCACATGGCCACCATCTCTTAAATTTCAAAGCATGCCTCACATGAGGTAGGTAATGTGTACAGTACAAATGATAATGTATCGTCGATTGAATGTAGATGCTGGAGAATATCATCATCAGTAAATGATTAAGAATAAGATAAGAATATCACCATATGATCAAAGAGCTGCAGACAAAGTAAGAGTACGTGATTAGATCCCAATAACTATGTGTTCAAACACACAAATCTTAGTCTATAAAGCAACACGTTTTAAAAGTCTCTAGTTATCTAACTCACGTCTCTATCCAAGATTGTCTCAGTTACAGTCACAAGAACAAGTTACGAGCTTTCAAGACTCTTAACGGATTTACAAGAAGAGAACTCACAATGAAGAGATACTGTTCAGCGGCTTTGGTTCTGTTACTTGTAGCTTTCTTTAGCAGCAAGCATAGTGTAGAGGGCCGTTCTCTGTTAACACAATCCGGTCAAGCCGTGAGAGATTTGCATATAAGCAAGGAGATGAAGAAAGAGCCACTTAGAGGAGAAAAAGATAGCTTCAGAAGAATCCCAAGTACTGGCTCAAACCCTGTTCCTAATTCTTCGGATATGTCTGCTTCTCAGTCCTCTTCCTCTCTCACCGTAACTCTTGACTCCATCAATACCAAGGTGGTGTTTGTTTTCTATATCTGAATCTAACTCTAGTGACTCATGATGTCTTGAACCTTTTGTTTAATAATATGGTTTTTTTTTTTTTTTTTGTTTTGGGGGATCTTCAGGTTTCTTAAATCTGGTCAGTATGCTGTCCGTGGGGAAATTGTCAACATTGGTCAGTGATGAGACTGCATGTGTTGAGGGAGCTGAGGTGGACAGACGGTCAAACGTGAAAGAGAAAAACCCTATTGCAAGTTTTATGGATTAAGCTAAGAGTACTTATATACTCTATGGTTTTAATTTAGTTTTTATTCTGTTTCAATAAGAGTGGCTGGTTTTCCTTTCCCATTTGTTCTTAATTGTAAGAATCGCTTGTTTCCTTCGTTATTTGCTTCTTCTTGTACTCTTATATAAAATGAGAAAATGCAGTTTCAAAATACTTATATGTTCTATATGGTACATGTGCAGGTCAAATCTTAAAAAAATAAAAAATGGAAGCTGGTTTAACTGATAGAATACTTTTCTACATGATGTAATATGTATGGTTCAAAGATTAAGAATCCAAACAACTTAATTCCAAAGTATGAGAGGTATACAAGATATATGAAACAATCTGAATAGCATAAAATCATATAATAAAACTAAATCAAATATTTTAGAAATTCATTAGAGGAATACTTCACGAGTGGACTAATCAATCACCGTTTTGATCACCTACACGGCATCGAGTAATCCCATCAGTCAGATTTTCCAAGTTTTGCATATCCATCGGTGGTTTCCAACCCATCACATTGATTGGCCATGCCGGAACCATCTCAACAGTCCGATCGTTACCCATCGCAACGATCTTTTTCCCTATATTTTCTCTCAACATACTCAATGCTGCCATGTACTCTTCAAGCTCCTCTTCTGGCACACTCTCCACCGGACGCTCCCACCACGGTCTCCTACTTTCCTCATCCGCCACGTTATCACCGGAATATCCCTCCAACTTCACCGGACTCTTACGAAGATACTTGTCTATCAATGCGTCTACATGGCCAAATCTGTAGATCCTACCGCATTTAGAGAACGTTATGACAGCGATTTTGGCGCCCGTGAGAACGCTCAATTCAGCAGATTTCTTGAACAGCCCACGACGGCGTTTCGAGAACGTTACTTGTCTCTTGGTCTCTTCCTCGATTATCTTGATCTCTATCTTCTGTCTTCCTCGTGTCGTTTTAGGGGTTTGTGTTGTTTCCTTTTTTGGTTGACTAACCAACATGTTAGGGCTTTGAAGTGGATCCTTGGGCGTCAAGCAAGTCATCGTTGAAGTTTCTCTTTCTTCTTCCATGACCACCAAGCGAGAGGGAGGAGAGATGGAAATATCATTAGGTTTTTTCTTGGTCGTGGGATTTATAGTCGTTCATGATTATGTAATAATAAAGGAAATTGTCTTACTTTTCTTCATTTATGGAAATTTGGTATTAAATGCAATTCCAATTAATTAATATTTTTCGGAATGATTCCATGAATCAAAGATAGACTTTCGTAAAAATGTAAGACATGTGTTGTCTTATACAAAATTTATAGAAATATATAAATCCGAGATACTACTTTCCATTTTACTCGTTTGTTGAAGAATCGATTGTGATACATATTATATTTACATAATATATACATTGTCGACCTAAATATACGTGAATCGCGTTTACCATCACATACACGTACAAACGTAGCATGTAGAGCATTATGCCATGCAGAGCCGTGACTACCTCTTTAGAAAAAGGACAAGTGCCCTAGGCCACAGTTTGTGTAATAAATTTAAGAGGCCACATTAATCATAATCTTCTTAGGTTTTGATCATATTGTCACTCTAAAAGTCATTTTATCAAGGTTCTATTCCAATATTTGTAACATTTATCATTCTTTCTTTCTTGTTTGGTTGTTGTCTTAGTCGTCTCCTATATCTTTTAGGATTTTGTTTTTGTTTATTTAGAATATATAATCAACTATGTAACATAATTAAAGAAAATTTTGCCAAAGGCCACTAAGCTCGTAAGCACGGCACTGATGCCATGCCAGACAGAAGAAAAACATATGACGTCGTCTTGCTTACATTAACATTTAAGAATTCCAAATATCACGGTAAAATGTCGAAATGACAAATTGATCAAATATTCAAATTAATTATCTCATTTGGGGCCAAGAAGTGATTTGATGATATCTTTATTGATTGATTACAAGTGATCCTAATCCAAATAATGATTAATGGAAAATTTTACATTTTGCTTTAGCAAAAAACAAGAAAATTTTACATTTTTGAAGATATTTAGTCCAAATGAATATTGCCAATTATCTTAACTTGGTTTAATAGTTTGAGAGCCATTCAAGATGTATAGGTAATTCAACAGTTTCAGAACCATTCAATTTGTTCAGAAAGCTGAAGAGCAATTTGGATTTGCTTTCGTAGTTTTGAAATTAAGAATTTGGTTCCTTCAGTTTTTTTAACTGTGATGACCGTCTCGTTCTAAGACTAACATACCCATTTTATTTGGCCATATTCTTTTTTTTTTAGTCTCAATTTTTTTTATTGATAATTTGAATCCAATGTATACAAAGCCAACAAGAATCGAAATTCTTTTCGAAATATAAAGATGGCGAGTACATAAACACTCCCATTAACAAAATCTCATGCCGTAAAAAAAAAAATCCCATAAAAAAGAAACAAGCTAGTGAATAAAACTTTGAAAACGAAATAAAGTGGTTAATAAGTTTGTCAATGTATGTGGAAGATTCTATTTAAATTTTTGTTTCTTAATATGTTAAGGGTAAAAAAGTAAAATCAGTAAATTTTTCTTTCGCCGAATACTTTTTTGACTCCGGTGGTCAACGTCGAGCCGAGACGGCAAACTTGAATCAGTTTTAGAAGAGAGCTTCGACGCTGCAATTGAAAAATCAAAATCTCTCCGACCTCCGAAACTGAGCAGTTGAAAGAGAGAAAAATGGCGGCGAAGACGATGAGGAAGGCGGAGGAGCTGGTGGAGAAGGCGATGAAAGGAAACGATGCTTCTCATGATGACTGGCACGTGTGGAGGGTCCGAGACCTTGCTCTCTCCATTGCTCGCGAGGAAGGTCTCTCTTCCAGCTCCGACTCCATGGAAATTGTGAGTTTGAAAAGTCCCTAAATCCCACAGAACCCTTAATTGCTCTTCGTTATCTATATCACAGATTCACAGTGCTAGTTCAACTGAGCCTGAAGAATCTTCTCCTAGTTAGTTCTTGTAGTGATACTAGAATGTGAGATGTTTTTTTGTCAAATTTCAATTTTTGCAGGTGGAACTTGCAGCTCTTCTTCATGATATAGGTATTTCGTTTGATTTATTTTCTATTAAAGTCATGTGTTTATTATAGTCCACAGTTTGATCATAGTATGTATCTCTTGCCCTCTCTCTTATCAGGTGACTACAAGTACCTAAGGTTTGTTTCTCTTAAGTTTTCTTTTCTTTTGAACCGCTTGAGTAGACTAATGTCCCTTCCAACCATTCTTGATCATACTTCCACGAAATAAAAAGTGTTTACTTTGCCCCTGAAACTCTCTACGTTCCCTGTTTTTAACTTTGTTTTAACTAAACTGGATGAACAAAGACACTTAGAACTTGCAAGTGTATATATGGTCTACTCGTAATTCGGGAGCCTAGGCACTAGATTCCATCTGTTTGCAAATCCTATATTGGATGTCATTAGGTGATTTGCTCACCTTATGATTAGTTAGGCTCTACTAGGTGGAACTTTGTGTGGATATAAAAATAAAAACTACTCAACTATGAATGCTGAAGACTGCTTTTCTTCCGCTGATATGTTGCTTCATGGCAAAAATATGTTATAACCGGAATTCAGAGACCCTTCGGAAGAGAAACTTGTTGAGACTTTCCTAGATGAGGAGGGTATCGAAGAGACCAAGAAGACCAAGATACTAACGATCATCAATGGAATGGGTTAGTTTCCAGCTCCTACTTTTTACTCAACATATCCAGTGTGCATGAGTTTTCACTACAATTAAGTAAGATTTTGTAAAAAACGCACTCTGTTGTATATCAATTTGTCAACAGAACAAGTGTACTTTTCCAGGTTTTAAAGACGA